AGGAAAATTAAGGATACTCATATGTACTTGGGTAAAGAAAAGGTAGAGAGAGGTATACAATTTTGGACAGCAAAACAATCCTTTCCCCACCTTCAAGATTTTCCCATTACTGATTGGGCTTCCTGGAGTTGCTCTTCACTAAAGATCTAAACATGATGCTTTACAATGACTTTCTTTGCAGTAATTTCTATGTCCTGTTTGCTTACTTTGTCTGAACAGGTTAAAGATGAAAAAGTGTAGGGGTTGGAGGCTTCACACAATCACTCTACTTTTTTACATTCTTATGTGCGATTGACCCCCATCCTCTAGTGTGAAATGCTCCTTACAGAAGAGGAAGATTTGAGTGAGAACTGCATACAAATGTGTTTCAACGTGATTAACTGCATATCCATGGTCATTGTTTCAGTGGAATTTCGACTGCATAGAAAATTATTATCAGCTATTCAAGCAAAACCACAGAGTCCTCCCTGCTCAACATGGGAGGTCTGGGAATGAAGAGATGTGTATACACGAAGGACACCACCACATCCTTGGAACCTCATGCACTCTCTTAAATATGTAAGGAGGTATCTAGATCTTGGTTCTTTGTTGAAATAAAGAAATTTCATTCTTATTTAGCATAGTCCAGGTTAACTCATAATGAAACCATCCCAGTATTAGACATGTATTTCAAAATAATCATTGTTTTGGAAAAATAAGCCTAACTTGCTTCACACATTTTAACAGAAAAAGAAAAAACACTGTTACGAAACAGCAGGTTAGCTTATTTATTACCCAGGTTGTTTGAAAGAATGCAGAGAGCAGGAAAAAATAGAATTCAAAGAGGATCTGTGGATTTGCTCTCTTGTTGAGAGTGCTGAATCAGTTATTGAACAACAGCCTTTATAAAAACCGCATGTTGAAATAAGTGAGAAAAAAGGGTAGGGCCTTGAGTAGCTAGATCTTTGCAAGGACAGTAGATATGAGGTTGAGCAACTCTGGTCCACTGTTTTTCTGTGTACTTAAAATCCCTGTTTTATCATTAAGAAGGTCAAAGAATCTCAAGCATTAGCATGCAATCTAATGGAACCAGGCAAACACATAAAGTAGAACTTATTAGTTGGCATTCAAAACATGTGACGTGTATATTTTAAAGCGCAATAGACAAAATGCTCTAGAATTCTTGTGTGGGCAGCAAGGGCATGGTCAGAATCCATGACTATTTAACTAATTTGAAATGAAGTGAATAACTCAAAATCTAATTCCCAGTGCTATCATCATTTTTCAACTCAAACAAACAAATAAATTGTACACACATGGTTTTTCTCTGTTTAGATGAGGGCTATTTTCTCCCAATGCTAAATAAATAAATACTGAAATTGTGCTTACAGTATAATCAGGAAAGAGAATAGTCACAAATTAATATTTAATAATTCTGTGTTAAGTGAAAATAGCTGAAAAATATCCTTACGGATTTGTGGAATATTCAGACAACCCAAACTGCTGACTACAAGTTTTAAAGAAATCTCCCCTACACACAGAGACAGATCAGCCTCTTAATTTACTAAGGAACTGAAAGCAATAATGCAGACTAGGTGATAGCTGAAGTCAGTATTCTTGCAATGGATCAAAACAAGCATTGATTGTAGCTTCTTTGATGAAAAAAAGCAGCAAAGAGTATACACTTTTCTGCCTTCACTACCTCCATAATCAAAGGTTTGCATTGCTTTTTTGTTCTGTGTAAAATCCCCAAGATGTTGGAAGGGAAGGCATGATTGCCGTGAGCAACTTAAAGTCAAATAGATTCACCTTGGACTTCTACATGAAGGCAATTTAAAGGTTAATAATGTAGTTTGCTTCATTGTATATACAAATAATTCAAGATGGTGAACATATCAAAGCACCTTCCTCCTCCTCTTTTCCTCACAACAACCATATCAGATGAGTTGGGCTGAGAAGATAGTGTATAGGGAGAAAAGCAGTCTTCCTTTTTCTCTATACCCTTGTCTCTCTCAGTCCAACTCATATTTCATTACCCAACTGGATAATATCATCAGTGCATGAGGGTGGGTTGTGCAGTAGCTTGCCCTGCCAGTTTTGGTGGAGATATAGTTGCTTCCTTAGTGGTTCCTTGATTATTGTTTTCTGTGTTATTGTTTGTCTGGTACTGATCCCTGTTTATCTGGTTATGGGCCGCTGGAAGAGATGTATTTTAGCCTTTTTACTTCCTAGGAGCTTTATTGTCTCTGTTTTGAATGTTGTGTAAATGTGGTTTATCTCTGTGAATGTACTTATGAATATAAGCATAATGAACATAAGATTCCTATTGAAAAAACTATTTTTTGATCCAGGAGATCTGTAACACTGTAAGATAATCTGAAACATTTTATTTCTAGGAAAGAAGATGAAGGCCTCAGATGCATCTGGATGACATTAATTAATTAATTTCGATTATGTTCCCAGCCTGGATTTTGTTAAGATTATTTGGTTGCCTGAAAAGATAACACGTCAAATTGGATGGGAAAAGCACGGTCTACTAATCTTGAAATTTTTAATGATTTTGGTACTATTGAGCATCCAGCATTTTTTTTAATTCTTTGGTTTTTTAAAAATTCTTTGGTCCTTGGGACACAATTTTGCAGGAGTCTGGCCCTTCCTGGTTATGCCCAGAAGACAGTGCTGGCAGATTACTCTTTCATGCTTAAGTGACTAACCAATGTAATCACAGGCTTACATCTGTTCAGCGTGAAACTATTGAGGAATACAATTTGGAACTTTTGAATCTGATGACTCCCTTCTCACATTTCATATAAAAGTGGTTTTGCAGTTACCTGGCTATAACGTCATTTCTGGTTCTATATTTAAAACAAAACAGAAAAAGACTAGGGAAGAACTGCAAAGAGATTCCTTCATACAAATAATTGCAATATTTCCCAGTTTGGACATTCTCACTGGAAGAAAAGGGAACTTTCTCCACAATTTTAACATATCTGGGAAAGGAGGGAGAAAAAACACTCAAAGACTGACTCCTGACTCTTTTCACTTTACAGCAAAACAGCAGTGCTGGGAAAATAGAAATGGTCCAAGATTGTTGTTGTTGTTGTTTGTATGTGTCTATCTGTCTGTCTGTCTTAGATAAATATATACAAAGGTCTTGAAGTAAATTAACTGGGCAAAACACCATCATCAATTAATCTTTAAACACTGATACTGGTCTCAAATTTTAAAATAATGTAAGTTTTAAACAAAAATGAATACAAGAGGAAGAGAAAAGTAAAAGAACACAACCAAAACAAGATTCTCTTCAATTCATGTTAACATTATTATAGACGCCTCTCAAGTTATTATTTCATTTTCCTTGAAACCCTTTCTTGCATAAATTGGGAATTTCAATTACATATCCACACGTAGAAATTTGAAAACACTGGGTAACTGATGGTAATTATACAAATCTCTTCAGATGATTTCACTGGACCTGATGTTCTAGAAAGCAGGTTTAGAATTCTAATTTCAAGCATCTGATCATCCAGTAAAGCAGCAGGAAAAGTTACACTTGATATGAAGTCATTTTCTGGCACATAACATCTCCGGTTGCCATTTAAAAAGAGGAGGATAGCATTTTAAGTAGGAGACAGGAAAGATCTTTGGGCATTAAATTTCCACTCAGGTTTGCTTTAGTAAAATGATCTGTTACATTTCTCCACAGGGGTTCGTGGGACTGGCACTGCCAGACTTCAGAAGAATATCAGCAGTTCCTGCTGACAACAATAGAAAGAGTTGTTTCTTCAAACCAGTATCCTACAGTAGATGGAATTTTTTGCAGGCCCAGGGTACATGTAGAGGTTTTCAAAGAACTTTAAATCAATATCTGGTAGAACTGTTTAAAGCATATGGGTATAACTTTAGTGATTGCTATGTTGATGATTAAAAAGATACAATTGCTATGCCAATGCATAACAGACAACACTGTCTTGTCCACAGAGCAGTATATTAGGTAGTATTGATGGCACTCAAGGCTCTGAATAGCACATACTTTGGGTATGTTTATGACCTACTCCAATAGTCTGAAGTTGGTAACTCAGTGCTCAATCATGCCCTCCCCCCATAAAGAATTTCAACACTGCATCTTAAAAAGCATTTTCTATGGAGGTTCCTGCAAATATAGAATTTGTTTCCTTCACATTTCAATCTATTTTACTCCAGATTTGAAAACCACCTACAGTTTTCTCTATTGTCCAGCAGTTCATGTATGCAAGCTTAAATTCCCCTCAATCAGTTTTGGAACCATATTCAGTGCACCAGCATTTTAGTATAAGGTTCAATCACAACTGTTCTTAAAATATTTGGAAATCCTACAACTGCCCAATTTTGCTTAAATTCAACATTTCTAGTTAATCTCTTTTTTTCAAACAAGTCACAGAGCAAATTATACAGCAATGCCATTCCATAATTAAAGAAGCAAAGAACAACGATGTTTTTAAAATGGAAAAAACATGTGTACACTCTGTTATTAAATAACAAACAAGAATAAAATAAAATTTTGAAACTTTCTGTGATCTACCTGGGAGTAAAAGAGAATAGAGTATAAGCTAGCAGTGGAGAAGTAATAGTCATATAAGTTAGAACTTCACCAGACCTAAAACTCAGGTATTACCCATTTAGTACAGAATAATAATGAGCAATTGGTAATGAGCAAGCTAGAATATATGCAGAAAATTGCCTCAAACTTAGCATAAAGCTCAAAACAATTGTGCTAATACATGCTAAATTACTTCAAGTGACGATCAATGGTGAAAATACTATTTTCACTGAGTAAGAACTGAGTAAGTGGATATTAAACACTGTAATTTCTAAATATTATTTAGTTCTCCAATGCATATTTAGGTTGAAATGCCATTCCTCTCATAGCCATCAAGGAATCATGAGACTAAACAAAATTACTACAAATAAATGTGAAAGAATTTCCCCCCACCCCCAAGCTTTTTTCACAATACTCATGCTATTGGGAGAAGGGATTCTACCTGATCCAGGTGTGATTAGTGGTCCTTCCAGCTCAAGTGTTTCATCCTCATATTGGTCATCCAGCCTTTTCTTTTTCTTTTTGTTTGAATCACGGGACTTTCTTAAAAGAGAGAGTTCTTCTGGATGCCTGATGTCTATGGAGGTAAAATAAGAAATTATATTATAAAAAAGAAAATGTTTTAAGGCTTTTTGGTATTTTAAAGAATATAAAAATAGTATGAATACTGCAACACAATGGCACCATAATGCTTCGGTTATAAAGCTCAAATGATAATTAAATAGTACACATCATACCATTTGTAGAAAAGAATAAAATATAATTTAAATCGCCCGATGACCTCCAAATATCTTTTTAGCTGAGTGAATTCCTATTTCTCTATAAAGTTGTCTTAAATCTGTTTCTGCAGATTAGAATATCCTCCAAAACAGATTTTATAACATGTAATGGACAGAATAGATCAGCGAAGTTCTACTATGAGACAGATGAACTATTGTGGACATGGGTCAAGAAACAATTGGGACAATCTTCTCAAATAATCACTACTTCATTAGGAACAATCCACAATAGTGATAGCCATACAGTACCATGTTCTCTATACAGTTAGGCTCTGGCCTCAGAGAAAGATACCAGGATTTATAAGTTTCTCCATTTGTGATTAGTATCCTAAAACCTAATCTGAATATCAGTGGTTACATAAACAAAAGGACAGATCAACAGTATTTTTTCCAGTATTTAACATTACTTTGCTATTTCAAACTTAGTGAATAAGCCTTTCCATCTAAAAATAATCTGAAACAATTCATAATACCAAATTATTACTAATAGACATCTTAAACCTTTGAAGAGAGGCCAAGATACATTATAATGGAATCAACTGTAAATATTACGAAGATTTTTTTCCAACTTTAATATCTGACAGAAAGATAACTTTCCATTAATGGATTATTTTTATCACAATTTAAAACAACATTCCATTAAGCAGAGGGCTGAGAGGGAAGTGATCCAATCTAAATTGCTATGAAAACTACCTCAGCAGAGTTAGATTCCTAGCATATCTCAAGATAATTGGAATACTACATTACTCTCACTACTGAATGTCTCTTTAACAGACTGGTCATCTGGTGCAGAAAGCTCTTATCACCACATATTTCTTAGCTGAATTTGAAAAGAAGTATGACCTTAGGCACAAAAAAACTGCCCATGCTTGCTCTGGGGATGTAACATAAAATGTATTTAAATGACAACACCTTAGCAGCCAATGGCACCTTTGGACTGTGAAGATGACACAGCTTGCAGAAATGGCTAATTTGACCTGTTTGATTAGAGAAGGAACAACTTTTATAAAAGATTGGAAATTATTTCTGGATTTTTTTGTTGTTGCTGAAAATGACTAAAAATGAACTGGTGATTTCTGAATTTACTGATTAAAAAGGTATGAAGTGTTACCTAATTTTGGAGAGGGAGAATAATATTAAATATTCCCTGTAACTTCCTAAAGAAGATCAGAAGTTGCTTCTTTAAATATTCCCCCCCCCCCACATCAGTTAATATAATTTATCACAGCGATTATTTATTTATTATCGATTAGCTATCCAGGTGAAGATTATTCAATTGGATGGAAATAAGCAATCGTACTCCTATATATTATGATGCTAAAGATAGAGGCACATTTCATTGTGCTCAGTGACAAAGGATTAGTCCCCAAACTTTTGTTTTATTTCCTCTAGAGTAGTAAAATCATTATCTCAAATCTAGAGACAGATTGAACAATTTCCCACACAGTCTGCATAGGCCTATAATCAACAGAATATAATTCCAGATCCCAGTAATTTGTAAACCCTGTTCCCATTTCCAGAAAGCAGACTGGAATATGTATGCCAAGCACATTAATGCTAATATCAGATTTAAAAACTCTTTTAATATAAAGACATATAGGCACACAACATCTAATGGGACTTTCAAGAGGGCATTCTTTATTGTGCTTTTTGTGCATAAATAATAGCAATAGCGCTTAAACTTATATACCGCTTCACAGTGCTTAACAACCTTCTGTAAGTGGTAAAAATAAATAAAATAAGACTCTAAAATAAAATTCATAAGCAAATCAAGAATATTTCTTGGCTTATGGCAAACCCCAGAAATATTGCTAAAATGTGACAGGGATTGAATGCTTGTTTGATTGAATCTACCCCATTTGCAGAACATGTGCTAAGTGGCTGTAAGCAACTCTAATGGAATCTGTTAAAGAAAATAGTGGTGCCACATTTCATAACTATGAAAGGTTTTCCCAGTTGTAATATAAGTCTATGAACTGAATGAAGGAAAAGTAATGTATTTGAATAATGCTTGAGAAAACTAAAGATAGCATTTTGAACCACAAAAAGAAGAAATAAATACAAGTTGAAGGAAAACTAGACAGCTGACTGGAAGCTCTAGTAATGAAACTCATTTTACATAATGCATAGGCAAAAAGCTACTGGGAAAGATGCTGCTTACCTGAAACACAGAAGCACATGAAATACATAAAGTTCATACATTCAAAAGGCACCAGAGAAGCTGCCCTATTCATTAACAAAATGTGTCCTGATTCCTTTGTCTGTCCTGAAGGATTAAGACTTCTTAGTAGATTATATTTGATAACACAATAGTTCTTATGTGGTGGTACATAATGATTTATCCTAATCCCTGGCGGATTCTCTTTTTAAAAATTCTTTTAATAGTCTTCTACCCTGTTTCCCTGAAATTAAGACCTCCCTGGATAATAAGACCAATCAGGCTTTTGAGCACATGCGCTAAAATAAGCCCTTGTGAAAATATGAAGTGACCATGCTTGCTACCTCCTGCACCTCAAAAATAATAAGACCTCCACGAAAATAAGGCCAACCGCTTATTTCAGGGGTCAAAAGAAAACAAGACTCTGTCTTATTTTCGGGGAAACATGGTAACAGGTCATTAGAAAGGACAACCATTGTATGCCTGACTTGTTGATGAACTGGAGACCAGAAAGAGATCTTGCGATCGTCCATACAAATGCTACAAAGACATTATGAAAGAAACTCTACATTACTGTGACATCCAGTCAAGGGAACTAGAAGCTATGGCTGGTGACAGAACCAGTTGGTGAGCCCTGTGTTATGAAGCCTGCTCCAAAGATAGGTGTTGCCAATAAATGATGGAAAACCGTGAATGTCATCATAGAGTAATAGCAACAGTTGTTTCAACAATGGATTCCTAGTACTCATATTGTACTAGACTTCG